ACTGTCTTGGTTTAAGCACTGAAAGTTCCCTTCCCCTCAGTCCTGGGCAAACAGGGATGGCTGGTCACCCTAGGGCCATGCCAGGAAGACACAAAGGACTCATTGGTGTCTCTGCTCCCTCTCCGAAAGCCCCTCACCTGTCCCATTTGATCCTGAGGAGTAGGTAGGGCAGGGTAAACAGCTCTCCTGTGTTATAGATGGAGAAATCAAGGCACAGGGACACCAAGTCTTCCAGTCCCCTGGGAAGGCGTGACAGAGCAGCAGCTCTCTGCCTGCCTGGGAGGGGATGGGTCCCTGGGCTGGGAGGCCTGCCTTCCTGGGGCCTGAGCCTCCCACCTCCGCTGCAGCATGCCTTGGAGAAGCCATGGCCTTCCTTCCTTCCTCTACCCACTAAACGTTTCCCTCTGAGCTGAAGTCAACCTACTACCCTGGAGGGCAGGTCACATGTGGTGGGGGTGGCTGGAGAAGTAGACTTAAAGAAGCCTAGGGCAGGTTCTGGGGTCCAGCAGACTCAGGAAAGGAAGAGAAACAAAAGCTCTGTGCTCAGAGGGAGGCAGGGATGTGGAGGAGACAGGTGGAGGGAGGGAGGGGGAAAGGCTTTCAAAGAGAGAATGAAAGAAATGAGTTATTCCAGTGTGGCGAGGTTGGAAAAACTCCACTGAATCTTTTAACACCCTTGTCAATTATTCATCTCCTGGTATGAGGGCCCTCTGCTCTGCCACAGCCTCCTCTGAGCAAGGCAAGGGGTGGGGGGAGAGAAAGAGAGAGAGAGAGAAGGGAGAGAGGACAGAGAGAGGAGAGCAACCCTGTGATTGAATTTCTGTCCTGGAAACAACACTGGACACACACTCTTTGATAGTGACTGAGAACCTTGGCTCAAGCACAGCCCACCTCCACCTGGAAGCCTTCCTTGCTCCAGCTTTCTCCCTCTCCCTTGTTTACCAAGGGCTTACTAGATGTGCCCACAGTGCTGGCTAAGTGTGGCAGTTAAGAAGATAAACTGTCAATTCCTACTCAATGGGTACACTGCATGGGTATACTGTGTGATATACTCCTAGGGGAAGGGCACAACTTCAGCTCGGACTTTAACCTTACAAAAAAGCATGCCATTTAATCGTATGTACTCCCATATTAGTCTGATTTTTAAATAAAAGATACATTGTCCCAACTACACCCTCCTGTCTGGTCATCCTGCACCTGTCATTTACTAGATACCTACTCCAGTCACTCCTTGTCTGCCTGTGAGTTGCCTGCTCCTATCTGCTTGGGGAATTTCCACAGCTGGGGGACTTGATTTCTTTTGCTTTTTTTTTTCTTTCTTTGCAGTTTTTTTTTTTTGGCCAGGGTCCTACTCCTTTTTTTTGAACCTGCCACCTCCAGCACATGGGGCCAGCACCCTACTCCTTTGAGCCACAGGCGCCTCCCGGGCCTTGATTTCTTCCTCTTTGTCTCTGCCACAAGCTGGGCACAGGGCTGGGCACCTGGTGGGGTGGGGAGTCCTGGTTTTCTGACTGGTTGGAGGAGTGGGGAACCCAGGCACACACAGGTGGAAGTGGACCCGTCTAGAGATGCATGGAGCCCCTCAGCGTCTCTGCTCTCATCCTGCTGTCCAGAGACCTGGCCTGGCTCAGCATGAAGTGGCTTCAGGGTCTCCAGAGGATGAGGGGGAAATGCCGACAGGTCATGTTTGGTAAGTTGCCGCATTCAGGATGACCCTTAACATCTCTCTCTTCACATTCATTTAAAAGCTTTACCAAAAGCTTCCTGAGATTTTGAAGCCTCTGCCTGAGGCCCTGTACTTGACCCAAGACCACTCCCCTAGGACCTTGACCTCAGTGGACCCATCTAGGACCAGAGCTTTGCACCATGTTGACAATATGGCACTTGAAAGGCCTCTGTCAAAACCAAGTGTCCTGGGATGGGAAGACATGGCTGGGTGGCAGCCAGGGGATGAAGGCAGATCAACTGGCACACCTAGGGGCCGTTGGGACACACTCAGGGGCTGGGAGGAGCAGGGAAGCAGGGAGCACCTGCACAGAAGGGCACAGACCTCATCCTCATGCTTCTGCCTCCATTCCCTAGCTGCTCCTCTGTCCAGAAAATGTTCAATTTCCTTTTAAACTAAAATAGGCTCTGAAGGGAATCAGGGCTGGGGGAATGCATGATGGGACTAGACGTAGATGCCTTGCTCTAGAAATCAGGTGAAGGGGGGACTAGACATAGATGCCTTACTCTAGAAATCAGGTGAAGCTGAGAGGCTCGTGGGGGAGCAGAGACAATGCCGTAAGCTGAGGGAGCCAGTTCACTGTCGGTTATTACACAACCACTACATGTCCCTGGGCTGCTGCTTCACCCTCAGGCTCTGTTGCTGTGACCAGTCCTGACCACATGTCCAGGAGCTGTATACCTTGTGACCATGCCATTGCTACTCAGTGTGTCTCAGGGTTATTGATGTGTCCTCTGCTGCTCTGTGACTCTGTCTGGGGCTTACACATGGTGTTCTGTGACTGTGCCTTGAATCCTTCTGCAATGCAGGGCTGTGTGACATCATTTACGGCTTGAGCCATTGCTATGCAAGGGCATTCTGCCACTCCATGGCTGCACTCAGTTGCTTGTCGCTCTGCCTCTTGGTCGCTTGAGTTCATCCATCGCTATGTAATTTTCTCTGTTGCTATGGAACAGCGACCCATTGCTACACGCTACTTGTGACTTTCATGGAGCTATGCACTGTTGCTACACGCCTACCTTCTATTGCATGTCACCAGGCACTCTAGGCCACGTGAATGTGTGTGTCTGGGTCCTGCCCTGATCCTTCTGGGCTCTGGCTAGTGGGTGGGAGCTGCAGCTGGGAACTTGGGTCTTTAGGACCCAAGGGCAAAGTGTCAGAGGTGAGAATAGCCAAGCCTGGTAAATCTGAGATAGAAATCGAGTGAGCATAAGAGAGAAATGTTGCTTTGAGGGACTGAACTGGGGTTGGACATGGGATGGAGCCAAGAGTCAGGAACAAAGAGGAACAGAGTGAGATGGTAGAGAGAGGGACAGTCCCCGTGCCCTGAATACCCTGTGGGTGTCTGATGACTGATGGTGCCAGGTTGGCTGTGCACACAGGCCACTGCGGTATCCACCATTTCCTTGGCTACATGCAAGGCAGCACAGGATAGCGACATTAGGAAGGCTGGGTCAGGTCTATCCCTGCCCATCCCTGGGCCCTTCCATTGCCACCCTTTGTGTAATGAAGGGATCAGTTTAGTGTTATTTCTAGTGCTTTTGATGTTCAGCCAGAGGTTTTATTACATTGCCAACAAGCACTTACCAGTATCTGTGCTGGGCTGGGTCTGGGCAGGGCCCTGACACCATGCAGTTCTTTAGCTCAAGGACTGCATGGTGGTAGCTGAGTGGACCTAACCTGGTAGCAGACCAGGGTTAGTAGCCAGTCTTTGTAGGCTTGCCAGGTATCTAACAAGAGGGACTAGGGAAACGTCTCTCTGCATGCATGGCCACTGGTGGGGCTACTGGGGGTGATGTCCAGGGTGGGCATGCTTGGGTTAGTTCTCCATTAGCTCCCAGCAGTCTGTGGGCATGGGGTGGCCCTGAGCACCCTTATCAGTTTACTTGATCCTTTCTCTCCTTTACTACCTCTGCTTAGAGGTGCAAGAAGGGAGGTCATGTAGCCAGGATGTTTGGGACAGCAGGAATTGGTCTATTCATGCTGCCCCAAAGCTCCAAAGACAAGATCCTTATTTTTATTTTTTCTTTCTTTCTTTCTTTCTTTCTTTCTTTCTTTCTTTCTTTCTTTCTTTCTTTCTTTCTTTCTTTCTTTCTTTCTTTCTTTCTTTTAGAC